ACCGGGCAGGGCGGGGAGGAGCTCTGTGGGCAGCCCCCCAAGACCTTTGAACTGGGGAGCTGCAGGAAGGTAATTCCCAGTGGAAGCCAGAGTGAGGCGGGCGCTGGGCAGGAGTCGGGCTGTGGGTACGGCCCGCCCAGGCCCAAACCACCATCCTGGAAACAGCTGTGCTGCTCTGCCCAGGGCACGGAGGTGGGGGGAGGGGATCCCCAGAGAGAGGCCCTGGATGGGGAAAGGAAAGGAGGTGATTAGGGAGGCTGGCAGGAGTCCAGGCTCGGGCTAGGGGGAGCAGTCTCCTGCAACACTGAGGGGGAAATGCATCAGCCTCTCCTCTCCACTGAGCAACCTCTCCTCCTCTCCTCACCGCCCCCCCCCAACAAGCTAGGGGCCTCCAAGGAGGGGGCTGCAGGCAGCTGGAAGCTCAGGTGGAGCTCAGCCAGGTGTTTTTCCATCCTGGGTCTGGGGATGGAGAGGGAGAGGGAGGAGCAGTGGCAAAACAAGAAAAAAGCGGTGTGCAGCTGGACAGGCCCCTGGGAGACCTGGGTTCGAGGCCCCCCGGCCCCAGGCCCGAGGGCCTGGGCATGTGGCTGCTCCTCACTGGGCCTCAGTGTTTCCATGTTGAAATGGGTACAGGCAGCAGCGGGCTGCTGATGGTCTGAGGTTTGCTGTCATGGGTTCTGAGGGGCTGAGAGGCAGAAATACAGGGGCTTTAGGGGAGCTTTTGGCCTAGAGGCCCCTTTCTCTCCTTTCAGGTGAGTGGAGTTCTCCTTTGCCGTTACTCTTTTCACTCCCTAACCATGGCCCGAATCCACCCTGTGCTGGGCACTAAAGGGTCAGCATCCGGGCAGACCCAGGCCCTGCCCTGGGAGAGAGCCCTCCCCAGTCTAGCAGGGGAGCCGGGCATGTAACCCGGCCACATTAGCACAGGGAGCTGCGGTTGGGCTAACCGTCTAATGCAGAGGGGAGTTTGGAATGCTGTGAGGCTTCAGAAGAGGTGACCCAACCCAGCCTAGAGCTCTGGAAGGCTTCCTGGAGGAGTGGGTCTGAAGTGTCTTGGAGACAGGCAGGAGCTAGCCAAGAAAGAGCTGGACAAGCAGCAGAGGCTGGTGCTCTCAGCCAAGGAGAGCATGTTCCAGAGCACACAGGTATGCCCCAGCGAGGACCTTGGGCTGGCTCTGGGGGCTTTGGGGGAAGGTGGTCGGAGAGAGCCAGTCAGGAGGCAGACAGGAGCCTGTGGGCTAGTTGGATCCCATTCAGTTGGGAGGTGACAGGCTCAGACGTGGGCATTAGAAAGACCTCTCTGGAGGTAGGAAGGTAATGTTTCCCACTGCTTCCAGCACCGAGCCAGTGGGCTCAGCATAGCCAGAATGGAGGATCTTACCCTGACTCAAGACCCGGTGCCTTATTCCTCAGGCCTTGTCCCTACACGAGCACACATCACACGGGACCGTCGTGGTCTGTTTCACATCTGTGTCCTTCACTGAACTGGGAAACAGTACTAGAGGGAAGGACGGGAAGGAAGGTTAGCCCACCATGGCCCCTACTGAATCAGAGTCCTCCCCGTCCCCTGTACTAAGGCCCCCTGAGTTTCTGTAGATGGGCTTTTCTTTCTAGCCAGGAGGTGGCAGGCACAGTCCTCCAGAGGGGCCCAGTGAAAGCCCATCTCCCTTTCTTGACCTTTGGGATTCCTCCTCTGAAGAAGCTCTGATTTCCTCTGGAGGCAGAGTGGGCTCCTCCGGAGTTTGGGGCCTTCCCACTCCCTGCCCACCTGTCAGAATCACAGGCTACTGCTCCCCTTGCCCTCCCTGCAGAGGGAAGCTCTGGTTTGCCACCCGCCTTCAGGAGAGGGCTGAGCTCAGTCTGATGAGGTCCCGTGCCCCTGCCCCCCACCCCAGTCCTATCCAACCCGGGCTGTCTAAGACATTGTGAGTCCAGGATGATGGCCCCAGTCCTAGGGCTTTGTATGCTTGAGCACCAGAGAGATCCTGGCCACCAACTGTACCTGAGTTTTCTCTCAGAACAGTTTGGGGTCACACAGTTCTTCGGGGGGAGCCCCAGATCCTCCATTTCTTGGCTCTGTGGGCAAGCCACTTCCCCCTCCTTTAGAGCTACCACCGGTAAAGATCTTACTATCAGGCAAGCTGTGAACTCATCGGGTCTGCAGGAGGCCTGTGATATGTTCTCATTATGCCCATTTGACTGATGAGCAAACTGAGAGGTTGAGGGGCTGCCTTAAGGTCACAGAGCTCGGTCTGCCTGCCTTTCAAACCCCAGCCTCAAATAGCTGTTGTAAGAATTAAGTGAGATGTCTATGAGTGACTTGCACGGGGCCAGGCTCCAAGTAGAACTCCTCGCCTCGCCCACCCACCGGCTCCGAGCTACTCTTCTACTGTGAAGAATGAGGAAGCGGAAAGGGCCGGGGGTTTGGCGGCAGCAGCATCTGAGGGCCTCCCTGCAGATGGCAAGGTGCGCCTGCATGGCTGGCTCTGAAGGGGCAGGAGAGCACTGCTGGGCGTCTTAGGGGAAAGCGCCAGACCTCCCTGTTTCTCTGCCTGTACCTGCTGCCAGCACCACACCTCCCTCCTCTGGGGCGAGAAGAAGCTCCTCAGAGGAAGGAAAGGATTTGTAAATAGCAAGTGTGGCCTCGTTAGAGGGAACGGCAGTATTAGTGGCGGTAGGTCCTGCTGAGGTTTGGGGAGCTGACCTTTTACCTCATGTGCCCGAGAGCTGGGGTGGGAGGAATGATCGGTGTCCGGGGTGGGGTGGACAAGGAGTGTGGAGCCTGTGTAGACCGGGGGTGGCAGGGTGAGGGCTGAGGCCTGGGGGGAGTGTGAAACCTCCCTTCCAGGCTTTTCTAGGCTATTTTCCTTTGTTAATCCCATCCAGAAAGCCCACAGAAGGCCAGACTGCTCCCTTCTCCGCTTCTGTTAGCACCATCCCTTCCAGCCATGGCACCAGCTCTCCTCTCCAGGACCAGGACCACAGCCTAATAAACCCCAGGAAGCCCCCCAGGGCCTCCCGAGGATGGCACCTTGTATCAGTTGCCTTCCTTCATCCAACAGACCCCTGAGAGCCACTTTTCTTCACAGGCTCTGCCCATACATGACCCTCTGGGTAGAGAAGAAAAACAATGTCAGGGCCTTCGGGAGCTCACAGCCAACACGCTACACAGCTTTTTGCCACTTCCAAGCAAACTCCCACACTGATTTTATGCGACCCTCACCTCAGTCTGTGAGGTAGGTCTCAGGGGTTCCCATTTTGCAGATGAGGAAATTGAGGCCCAGAAAGTTACAAAGCGGCTCCCGAGTTCCCCACCCCGTGGGTACCTCTCTTTTGCAGTGCAAGGTATTTAGGTGATGCTGAAGAGGAAGGGAGGGGGGTAAGACAGGTAAGACGCCGATTAAGGGGGCTGCTGCCTTTGTGAAGTGTCCCTGAATTGAGGCAAGACTCATCAGGGCCGCAGAATCTGAACAGGGCCCTAGGGTCTCCACGGGTTCATCCTGGCCTGGGTGGGTCCCACTCGGGGCCGAGAGATTGGAGAGAACACCAGGTGACCCGAGCACACGACCTGAGAGTGCTAGGCCTTAGGAATCGAGCACACGACCTGAGAGTGCTAGGCCTTAGGAATCGAGCATCCTCCCCTCCTCCCACCCCAGCAGCAGCACACAGCAGGTGAACAGGACGGAGATGGGGAGGGCAGAGTGGTGAGAAGCAGGAGTAGGGACCAACGTCCTGTGACCTGAGGCTTGGCCATGACCCCCTCTTGTCACACATGGGTGTACTGTCCTGATGAGAAGGCGTGGGAGCCAGGAGATCTGGGGTTTATCTCAGCCTGCTGTGTAACCTCGGGAGAGCCCCAACCCCGAGCTGCTGCCGCTCCGTGCTCTGTGCTCCAATCCGTCGTCGTCTGTCCAGACCCTCAGGACCCCCCTCCCCCCAGGTAACTGCCCCTCCCTCCCCAACTCTCAGCTAAGTGACTCTCCCCTCCCCCCAGGTAACTGCCCCTTCCTCTTCCTTTTCTTACCTGCTGTGTCCAGCCCCTCCTCCTCAGCTCCAGCTGCTTCCTCTTGGAGCCCGTGGCCTCAGGCCTGCTCTGCCCTCTGACTCAGGCAGCCCTGACCTTTGGGATCTGAGCAGGTAGCCTGGGTGGTTTTGCCCCATGAACTTGCTCTGACCTTCGGCATGTCCACCTGCCTCCCCCCTCCACTGCACACACCTGTTCTTAGCCCCTGGGTAGCCCAGGAACTGTGAGGGACCAGGTTTCTTTAGAGAAGGTAGCAGCATCCAGGGGCTTCCCATCCGAGATCAGACGGCCCCCCAGAGGGTCAGGACCAACGGGGACAGCCCGTCCACCCCTCCAGCCCCTCTCTCTGCAACAGACCATTCCTGGCTGGGAGTGCTCCACCTCCTCCCACCTCCCAGGCTTCAGGGGTTCAGGCCTGTCTCATGGAGGGAGGTCTCCCGAAAAGGCTCCCCACTGAGGCCACTTGGCAACCCCAAACACCCTCATTCCTGGCCCACTATAGTGATGGAGGATTCACCCCTCCCTCAGATACACGCAGCGCCCCAGCGGGGGGGGGGGGGGGATATATTTGTCTGGAATCTGACCCACGGGCTGAGCTGTGGGGACGACTGAGGAGCCCTCTGCAGCTCCCTACTGCGCCCCGTGCTGGCCAGGGGAGCCCGAGCACCTACTGTGTGCCAGCTACCCTGATGCGGCCTCCTCTAAGCCTTCTGCCACCAGCGCTGATGAATAATGCCACTTTTGCTAAAATAAAGAACCCGAAGCCCAGCGGGGTCGAGTCGAGGGGCCGCGTAGCTGGGAGGCGGCGACGGACGGAGGGTCAAGGGCGGCGCTGGCGCTGCACGCGGGTGGGGGGGGCTCCGCGGGGCCGAGCGCCCCGCACCCCCCGAGGCGCGCGCGGCTCAGCCCCCGGCGCGGCCGCCCCGCCCCCGCCCCGCCCCCGCCCCGCCCCGCGCGGGACCGCAGACGGCGCCCAGCGGCGGCGCGAACGGCTGCGAGGAGGGTGGCTCCGGCTCGGGCTCCCGCGACCTCCGCGACCCCCCGCGCAGGGCCCTGCGGGACGCGGCGCCGCGGGGCTGGAGGATGCGGCCGCGGCCCGGGGGCTGCAGCAGCGGGAAGCCGGGGCGCTGCAGGTACGGGCCCGCGCTCCGGCGCCGAAAGTTGGGCCGACTCCGCGGGCGGCGCGTGGAGCCGCTGCCAGGGCGCCCCTACCGGCCGGCCGGGTCGCGGCGGGGGCGCGGCGGGGGCGCGGGGCGCGGCGGGGGCGCGGCGGGGGCGCGGGGCGCGGCGGGGGCGGGGCAGCTCTCGGCGGGGTCCCGGCGGCGGCGGCGGCCGGCTGGGGGGCCGGGCGAGCCCTCGGGTCTCCCGCGGGGCCCGCTCACGTGGACGCCGGGGCTGGGGGCGCGCGGGGGGCGGGGGCGCCCGGGGCTCGGCGCGCGCGGCTGAGACGGGGCGGCCCCGCGGTCTCAGCGCCCCGGCTTGACCCCCCGCTGGCCGCGGCCGGGCCCCCGCGGGTCTCTGGGTGCGGGCCGCGGGGGCCGGGGGCGCACGTGCGCGGGGCGAGGCCCCGGGGCCGTGGCGCACTGGCCGGCGCTCGCGGGCAAGGGGGCGAGCGCGGCCGCGGCCTGTGCGGGGCCCCGGGGTGCACGTGCGCCCAGCGCCCGCCGCCGGAGCGTGGGGACACCCGGAAGCCCGCGGGCAGGCGCGCGGCGGCCCCAAGTCCGGCTGGCGAGGGCCCCAGGCGGCGCGGGTCCGGGGGGGCGGGGGGCGGAGCCTGCGACCCTCCCCCCCCCCAGCCGCGCCTCGGCCGCGCCGGGTCCAGCAGGGCCCGCGGCCTCAGCTCCGGGAGGGCGGTGCAGCCCTTGGGGGAGGCCGGGTGCCCGCCGCTGCCCGCCAGGATCCCGCCAGGATCGCTCTCCTCTTCCGGGCCTTTCCCAGCTCCCAACGCCCGCTGGCCTCCGGGAGAGCCGCGGGGAGATGAAGAGGGCACGGATGGCGCAGGGGTGGGGGCTCCTTTCCTGCACCCTGCCCTGGGCCCTGGCCAGGTTGGCCCTCCCAGCCCCAGCCCGCAAACAGCCTGGCGGCCGAGGGATGATGGACCCTACTCCCTGGGGTCCCGCCCTGCTCCAAGCAGTTGCTCGCCTCCCCAGTGTGGGGGTGGGGGGGTGGGGGGTGGGAAGGAGGCAACATTTTGGCTGTTGTCTTGAGTGGGGAGGGGCTTCCCTCAAGGGACTGTGCACTGGGCTCTTTGCACTGGCAGGAAGTAGGATCAGCCCCATACTCTTCATAGCCCTCTGCTGACTCCCTAGAGCCCCATCTCTCCCTCGAAGACTCCCCAGGGTCCCGAGTGGCTTCACCTCTATTGGCTGGGTTCCAGGAAGTCTCTGGGGCAAAGGGCTCAAAATGGGCAGAGCCCAGGAGACAAGACTCAGGGGGCTGGGGTGGGTGTGGACCAGGCCCCAGGAGTCATGTGGGGAGGTGAGACCACAGTCGACAATTAATCCAGAGCTCCCCAGGGTGGTTGGGATGGGTGCAGGAGGCTCAGCACCCCCGAAACCATTCAACTCCTTCTTGGCAAGGTTGCTGTGCAACAGGATGGGGCTTTCCGTCTATCCCTGTCTTAGAGCGAGCATTGCTATCAGCACCGTTACCCTGTTGTCCCTTCCGGTCTTTTCTAGGGAACATCCCCTTGTCTAGGCTGGCCTGAGGTGTTGGATTCTGGCCAGGAGATGAGCCAACTTTTTGAGAATCCCGCCTGGCTTCCTTGGTGCAGTTAGGCTGGGATGGGAGTGGGCATTGGCCCTCATACGACCCTTTGCTTTCCTTGTCCCCAAGATGTGTTAGTCTCCTCCTGAGCCTGTGGTGGGCATTGGCCACCGGGCAGAAGGGAGGAGAGGGCTGAGAGAGGGGGCTGGTTAGTGATAGAAACTTGTGGCACCTGGCCCATGGCCTAATCATAGCAAGAGTGAGCTGATTCATCCTTTCAAAGCCACCTGAGGGTTTCAGGGAACAGGATGCTAGGGGAGGTAGAAGCAGGGCAGTGTGGCGCTAGAAGACTGGCCTCAGATGACCCTTCATGGGTCATTGAGTAGCTGCTGCCTTGAGGAAACCCATGTGCGGCCTCTCTGGGCCTGGGTCCCAATCCTAGCTTCACCTGGCCTCAGGGCCTGAGTCTTGCTCTGCGTCTGTATCAGTGCAGTAGGGGTAGTTGCCAGCTAGCCTGTGGCCCCTGGGGACTCTTTCCCTGGACATTCACATCCTCCCACCTCCCCACCTGGTGGTCCTTGTCCCGTGCTGCCCTCATATGCCTTAGAATAGGCAGCGGCAGCTTTGGGACTGAGACACAGGCTCTCCTGCTGCCGCTCTTGGGACCTTCCTGCCGGAGCCACAGCACCATCTGCTGGCGGCCGCGCCTCCGGCTGGGGCCAGGCCTGGACGCTGCCCGGCTTCCCAGGCTTCCCACTGCTTCTCCTGGGGGAGTAGCCCTGCCCTGTGGAACCAAGCCCAGGATCTGTGTTGCTCTGGGCCTCGGGACCTGGGTTCCAGGCTTGGCTCTGCCATTTTTGACAAAGGTTGGCAAGTCTGAGAGTGAGATCTCAAGAATGTCTCAGGACACCTGAATTCATAGACAGCGTCCAGTTCCACATCTTAGCTGCCATGGGCATCTTGAGATCCCTATGGCATCTGGGATAAGAGCTGTGGTGGGAGGTAGGAAGCCTGCTTCTTGTCCCATCTCCTTTATCAGTGACTTTGGGATGAATGGGTCTCCTCATCTGTATATGGGGAACGGGGGGAGCCAAGAGAATTGGTCCTCGTCAGATGGTACCCTGTAAAGTGTGAAACCCCAGGAGAGGGGCTTGGGAGTCCTATGGAAGGGAGCTGAACAGAAGGGGCTCCTGGAATGGGGGTGGCGGGTAGAGGTTGGAAACCTCTGTGTGGTATAACTCATGCATTCATTCATTCACCGTCTTCATCAAGCATCTACTAAGTGCTAAGCTCTTCGGTGTGGCGATGCGCCAGTGAGAGCAGCTTGTCTGTAGCCCTTCTGACAGCGTCTCCCTTTCTCCCTCTCCTCTCCCAGGTCAGCAGTTGAGTAGCTGGGGCCCCCCCGAGGGCTTGAAGCCTTCCCAGTGATGGCAGAGAAGCGGCCACTGGGGACCCTGGGGCCTGTGATGTATGGCAAGCTGCCCCGTCTAGAGGCAGACTCCGGGCCCGGGCACAGCCTGCCCCCCTCTGCTGGCAACCAGGACCCCTGCAGCTACAAGGGTGCTTACTTCTCCTGCCCTATGGGGAGTGCTCCCAAGGCAGGGTCTGAGCGGTTAGCATCCTGGATCCCATATCCACCCTTGTACCCTGCCAGCATGGCAGGCCCCCCTCTGCGGACAGACAACCTGTTGACCAGCTGTCTGCTCTACCGCCCACCAGCGGAGAGCTCCGAGAAGGTGCAGGACCCTGGCCCTGTTGAGCTCCTGTCCTTCGGTCCCCAGTCTCATTCCTACCCAGCCCCACCGTTGGCGGCACCCAAACCTGTCTACCGCAACCCTCTGTGTTACGGGCTCTCACCCTGCCTGGAGGAAGGGGCAGCGAAGAGGCCACTGGATGTCGACTGGACAATGGTGACTGGACCTCTGTTACCCCCGGCTGAACCACCTTGTTCCCTGACGCCGGCTCCTGGCAAGGGCCAGTCCCTGGATGGCACCTTCTTGCGTGGGGTGCCAGCTGAGGGACCCGGCAAAAACTCCGTAAGCTTCTCCCCGTGCCAGGCCTTCCTGGAGAAGTACCGGACCATCCACGGCACGGGCTTCCTGCCCTCTAAGTATGCAGGTCCTTACTCTGGGGACTCTAAGCAGGCGTTGTCCGAGGGACCCCCCAGCCCTTGGACCCAGCTGGCCCAACCCCTGGGCCCCGCCTGCCAGGATACAGTGCCTACCCACTACCCGCTCCCCCACCCTCCCCAGGCCCTGCCTTGCCCATCAGCCTGCCGCCACCCAGAGAAGCAGGGCAGCTACGGCGCAGTGCTCCCACTACAGCCTCTGGGAGCCCACAAGGGGGCTGGGTACCCGGCTGGTGGGCTGAGCAGTCCCTACCTGAGGCAGCAGGCAGCACAGACACCCTATATGCCCCCAGTGGGCCTGGACACTTTTTCCTGCCCCTCTGCCCCCCCGCCAGCACCCTCACCAGGCCTCAAGCTGGAGCCGCCTCTCGCTCCCCGGTGCCCCTTGGACTTTGCCCCCCAGACGCTGAGCTTTCCCTATGCCCGGGATGACCTCTCTCTCTATGGAGCATCCCCCGGGCTTGGAGGGACGCCACCTTCCCAAAACAACCTACAGGCTGTGCCCCAGCCCAGTGCCTTCCAGCGGGCGTGCCAGCCTCTGTCCGCCAGCCAGCCATGCCCCGAGCCTGGGAGGCCTGTGGAGAAGCCAGCCCAGGAGGCAGAGGAGAAGATGTGGCTGCCAAGCTGCAGGAAAGAGCAGCTCCAGCCCCAGCTTGACGAGCGCCCCGGAGCGCCCATCGTCATCGGCGACAGTCCGGTTCCCCACACCCCCCTGGGACTCGCGCCCTGTGCCCAGGAGTGCGGGGCTCTTCCACAGAGTGACGGCGCACTGCCACCCGGCTCGCCACCCATGCCTGTCATCGACAATGTCTTCAGCCTGGCCCCGTACCGTGACTACCTGGATGTGCAGGCACCCGAGGACCCCGCTGAGCCCGCCCCGGCCCCAGCCCCCAGCGGGAGCCCCGCAAAGGACGGTGGGGCACCCCTGGCCGCACGGGAGGCGCCCGCAGAGCCCCTGGGCTCCCGCAGAGAGGAGGTAGCACTGGACCTAAGCGTGAAGAGGCCGGTGCCCGAGGCGCCCATCGGGGCCCCCAGTCCCGCCGCGCCTGCCCAGCCGCCCGCGGCCCCCGAGGCGCCAGGTGCGGGCAACGCACTCCCGGAGCTGCCAGACTTGGCAAAGGCAGCCCCCGAGGCCACGGGGTCCCCTGTACCGGCGACCACCGACGAGGCCGCCCCCAGGACCAACTTCCACAGCTCCGTGGCCTTCATGTTCCGAAAATTCAAGATCCTCCGGCCCGCACCCCTGCCTGCGGCCTCGGCCCCAGCCGCACCGGCCGCGCCCTCCGCGGCTGCGCCCCCCGCGCCTCCCCCCGCGTCCGTGCCCCTTGGGCTGCAGATTCTCAGCCCACCGCTGCCCGTGGCCTGCTTCAACCTAGCGCTGCCCAGCCCGCCCGCCGTGGCCCTGGCGTCCCGGGCCCTGGCCCCCGCCCCGGCCCCCGCCCCGGCCGCCCCCGCCACCAGCTCCCCAGAGCAGCACTTCACGGGCCTGCACGCATCCCTGTGTGATGCCATCTCGGGCTCCGTGGCCCACTCCCCGCCCGAGAAGCTGCGGGAGTGGCTGGCCACGGCGGGGCCCTGGGGCCGGGCAGCATGGCAGGACTGCCAGGCGGTGCAGGGGCTGCTGGGCAAGCTGCTGTCGCAGCTGCAGCGCTTCGTGTGCACCCAGCAGTGCCCCTTCCCCCACGTGGTGCGCGCCGGGGCCATCTTCGTGCCCATACACCTGGTGAAGGAGCGCCTCTTCCCGAGGCTGCCCCCCGCCTCCGTGGACCACGTGCTGCAGGAGCACCGCGTGGAGCTGCGGCCCACCACACTGTCTGAGGAGCGGGCACTGCGCGAGCGGGCCCTGCACGGCTGCACGTCGCGCATGCTCAAGCTGCTGGCGCTGCGCCAGCTGCCTGACATCTACCCGGACCTGCTGGGCCTGCAGTGGCGGGACTGTGTCCGCCGCCAGCTGGGTGAGCACGGGGCGTCCCCGGGAGCCCCCGGAGCGGTGTGAACGAGTGCCAGGTGTGTGGCTGCATGAGTGGTCGGCGGGGCTGGGGGCTGGGGGGCCGCGGACGGGGTGGCCCTGGGGGGGCTCTGTGGGCCGCCCCCCATCCCTCCCCACCTGGGCACCACTGGGCCTCCGAGCCATGGCTCTGTCCCCATGGAAACGTTCTTGGCCTTCCCCTGTGCGGTGGCTTTGCAGCCGCCCTCCTCTGCTGTGCCCAGTCCGGCTTCAGGGCAGACTTCTCCTTTGGGGTCTGGGGTTCGCCGAGGCCCTGTTCTCTGTGTGAGGTCGTCTCCCCTGCGTCTGTGTCCCACCCAGCCTCCCTCCTGAGCTTGAGCCCCAGGTGACTGAATGCCTGCTGGCCTTCTGCACCTGCCATCTCCCCGACCCTTAGCTCCTCCCAGACCCACACTCCGAGCTTTCCCCTAAGCCCTCTGCCGGCACCCCCACACCCCCACACCCCACCCCCGCCTTCTCCACCTCAGTGAATGACCCGATTCCTGAAGTTCCTGAAGGTGGGCAAGGATCCCATTCTCCCCCCAAGCACGATTGCCTTATGAATGTGCAGGGTTTCAGTCCTCCCGGTATTTATATTCACGGAAGTGCACCCATGAGTCAGAGCGATGTTTTGTGGTTTGCTTTTCCCCTACTAAATGACATCTCGTGCATACTGTTCTCAACTTGATCTTTTGATGTCCTGGAGCATCACATGCATTGGTTCAGGCTGTGGCCCTGCTCTCGGGAGCTGCTGCAGGGTCTCAAGGCGTGTACACTGACTTCCTTGCCTGGGACGCCAGCGATGGTGCCAGGTGGTGCCCATCGTGGCCTCTCCTGCAACAGGACGTCTGGCGTATCAAGGCCTGAGGCCTGTGACCCGCTCTGGAGTCTTTCTTTGCTCAGTGCTCCGCCATCCCGCACCAAGCCTCTGTCTGGGCTGTGTCTCCACAGAAATGGTTTCTTGTTCCCTCGCCATCCTGGCAGCCTTGTCCCAGCCTCTGACCCTGTCCTGGCTCCAGGTCAGCATGGGGAAGGTGCCCCAGGCAGTGAGGCACAGGTGTAGAATATCTGGGTGACAAGTATAGTGGCCCTTGAGCACTTGAGAAGTTGGAGCGTTTGACCTAATGGGTGCAAAGAAAAGGCCAGCAGGATTGTTGAGCATGGTGGGGCGGGGGCCTCTCACATGGCTCAGAGGCTCCAACCCCATCTTCTCCCTGGACAGCGGGGCCGTTGGGCCCAGAGAGGACAGGGCCGTCTTTCCTGGGCTGCCCGCGGGGTCCTGGGGCCTAGTGCAGAACTGAGGGACTCAGCTTCTTCCTGCCCCTGGCTGGATTTGGCACCCTGGTCCCCGCTCCCTCCCTGAGCTGAGTCCTTCCCCGATTGGGGGGGGGGGGGGGCGCCGCCCATCTGGATGTCCTGTCCCCTCTGCTGGGTCCTCCAATTCTGGGCTCTGGGGCTGGCAGAAAGACAATGGCACTGATGGGTAGCAGAGCCCTCTTCCCCATGCCTCAGTTTCCCCGGCTGTATAGGCCCTTGGTTCCTGGCTCGTTTCCTTTTCATGTGCCAGATGCTTCTGAGTGGTGCCGTCACCTGCTAGAGCTGTGGCATCACCTGGGAGAAGCACCCCCTTCAGCTTAATGGTCTGGCCTCCGGCACATGTGGGGACATGTCCGTCCTGATGGCTGTGACCCTGCTGGGGCCATCCAAGCCTGAGGCCATCCACTGGTCTAGGTGGCTTTGGAAACCAGGAGATGGGACCTGAGGGTTTTGGGTCTGCAGCCTGACTGTGTGTTCATTTTCCAGGTGACTTTGACACTGAGGCTGGATCTGTGCCCTCCTCAGAACCCACCATGGCCAGAGACGAGCCGGAGAGCCTAGCCCTGGCTTGGAAGTCACCCATCCCCAAGGCCAGGAAGCCAGGGAGGAAGCCACCAACCCCTGGCTTGGAGAAAGCAGAGGCAGCCCTTGAGGAAGGGGCCTGCAGTGCCTCACCCGCCCCTGCCACCAGCACCTGCCCCCAGGGCCCCATACTAAGGGCCCGCTTCCGCAGCCTGCTAGAAGCTGCCTGGCTCAATGGCCTGGCACTGCCCACTTGGGGCCACAAGGCCACAGGGCCGGATCGGTCCATGCCCCAGCCACAGGCGCTGGGCAACCAGAGCCATCCCCTGTAGCGCTGGTTGCTGTCTGGACAGCTGCCGTGTGGGGTCACCCTCTGTACCCCTACCTGCTATAGGCCTGGTTGCCCAGGGCCAGAAGCAGACATGCCCTGGGAGCTTCTCCTCTTGCTGCCACCTTCACACCCCATGGGGCTGAGAGCCCCCGAACTTTTAACTTGAGGGCCTTTATTATTAGGACAACTTCCTGTTTCTTCCTGAGAGAAAACGTGTGGGCTTTGGAGCTCACCAGACTCGGGCTCAATCCTGGCTCCGGTGTTCCTTGCTGTATGACCAGGCAAGTTACTTCCTCCTGTGAGCCCTCAGTTCTCCATTTGTAAGATAGGACAACGCAGCCTACCTCACAGGGTTGTTGTGGGGGTGATGCCTGGCACACACCCATTCAGGTTTGCTCTCTGCTCCCTCCCCAGGACAGGGGCCTGGATCTCAGCCAGGGCCTGGGATAGGAGGCTAAGGCAAGCAGAACCTTCTAGAAAGTCTTCGTGTGTCATAGGTCATTTAGGGTGGTACAGTGTACAGTGTGGATGACTTCTACTTCCTAGAGTCCTTTCCCGGGAAAGCTTGGGACTGTGCCCCAGCGTCTGGGATTGGGCCCTGACCCCCAGCCTGGAGCTCCTTGGGGAAGCCTGCCCCTTCCCTCCGTCACTACAGGGGGTGCCAGGATGCAGCCTGCGGCTGGCATCCGTGTTCTGGGCCTGCTGCTCTTACCTCTGGGGGGGCCCCAGGCCGGTCCTGAATCGACACCCATGACTTCCCTGAGCTGCCTCCTCCACCTGGTGCGTTTTTCCAAGAAAGTTGTACGTTTGCTGGAAGCCAAGAGGCTGCAGGGACTCAGGGACGAGACGAGACAGGCTGAATGACAGCTCAATCCTGGGCGGTCTCCGAAGATCTGGACTGGTGGCCTCAGCCCTCCCCAAGCCAGAGCCCCATCGGTCATGCCTGCTCTGAGTTACCTCCTTGCAGAGTGCTAAACTGAGCCAGAGGCTGGCAACCTTGGCCTTTGGCCTGGCTAAGGTTTCTAAGAAGGCTGTGGGTCCTGGAGGCAGGCCATTAAACATTAAAGCGTTTGGGTTGTTTTTGGACCTGGGGCCTGGCTATGTGTTGTGGGGACGAGGGGAGGGGAGGGGCGCAGATTTAATAGGCCATCCCCCAGTCCTTAGCAGTTGTCCCTGCTCCCAGCGCAGAAGGTGCTGTGGCTGTCTGGCACCATTGTGCCATGCGGGTCCTTGTCACACACCCAGTGGGCAGCCACATCCCTGCTCGGGGACAGCCCCTCCCTCCTGAGACCTCGTGGGTCCTGATGGTTGTGGGGTCTGTAGTGCACTGCCCGGTGAGAAATGCCGGTTACTCTCTCCCAGCACCAAGGACATGCCCGCCAACAGGTACATAAAAGTGCAGCTTCATCCACCTTGTTGCCAGGGCCTTGCTGGATTGGCTGTTTTTTCCCTTCCTTCCTCCTTCTTCCCTCCCTGCCGTCTTCCTGCACTTCCTTGCCCAGCCCCAGTGTCCCTGCCCGCCAGGCGGCCTACCTCTCAGCAGATCTGGGGCCCCAGGGACGCAGAGCTGCTCAGCACCCGAGGGCATCCTGTGGCCCCACGCCCCCCACCCCCGGGCGCAGATGCTGGCTTTCGGGCGCAGATGCTGGCTTTCGGGGGTGGGGGGCGTGGACCTGGATCTTGCTGGGAGAGGTGCTGCTCCCAGAGGACAGCTGCGTCCCGTGCCAGGTGGGGCAGGGAATGTGCCACCCAGGGCTCCTGTGTGACAAGGCCACGCTCCTGCCCCTCTCCGGCTCTTCTTCGGCAGGCCCATTCCATTCTTCAGTAAGGGTGTTGCTGGCTGAGAGTTGAGGGCAAGGAAGGGTGTGCATTGGGGCAAAGGGAAGCCACAGTGTGCCCCGTCTGGGTTAAATGTGGCCCTTCTGGCCCCAGGGTCCCCCTGTAACAGTCCAAGGCTTCTGCTGGGCTGAGCCCAGGTAACCCTTCTCAGAATCATCTGGAAAATGTTTTGCCAGGCCCCATCAAGAATGGCCCTAGGCAGAACCCAGAAAGCTGGATTTGAGTCCAGCTCCCAAGGTGATGGAGTCCAGTGTGGAGGGATCCTTTGGAGGAACACTGACGACTCCCTTCAGGTTACGGGAGGAAGCAGGTCCAGGCACTTGCTGCTGGTCATGTCAAGTCGGGCTGGGTCAAGAGGCCCAGGTCCTCTGGGCTAGTCAGGAGGCAAGAACCCTCCGCACCTGCTCCGTCCCCGGGCTGAGCCCAGCCCTGCTTGCCAGGCCTCTCTCTACCTCCAATGGCCTCACCAGGTAACTAACGGGTGTCTCTAGCCTAAGTCAGCAAAGGGAGGATGGCGCTCGGGTGAGCCTGCAGCCTGACCGAGGGAGGCCCTGCCTCCTGGCTGCCCTACTTGGCACTGCAGCCCAGGGGAGCCCAACCCACTAGCCTCCCTGCCACCTGTTAAGCCGTAAGCCTGCAAGGTAAGTGACGGGCAGCTTTGTCTCGAGCCTGTGATGGGGGGAAGAGGAGGGCAGGGCTATGCCTGACCAGGGGCTTATGAAGACCCCCTTGGTAACCTCCAGGTGCTTCCTGCCCTGCCTTGTTCTCAGTCAGGGGTTGGTGGGGAAGGGCTGGGTCTCCCAAAACCCCCACAGGGGGAAGGGAGCAGGACCCACCTCCCCTCCCTGAACATGCCTCTTCTGACCCCACAGCCCTGCTAGAGGTGGGGGTAGTGCCTCCAGCCCATGGGCCAGCACCCCCCAACCCAGCCTGCTGCCCCTTCGGCCCCTGCCGAGGAGGGCCACAGGGACGCCCAGGCGGGGGGCGCTGAGCCCTGCCGCTGACTCTTCTCCTGTGTGCTCTCCAGACCCCTTTCTTGGGCACCCCTCCTGGCCCAGCCTAGTGCAGCCCCCCTGCCCCCTCCTACCTCTTCTCTAGCCAGCAGAAGCCCCTGGACTGGACTGAGGCTGACAGGCAGAGGGGCTGCCTCTGGGGCCCCTGACCCCGGGTGTCCTGGCTGCTGCCCCCTCGGAGGCCTCTACAGCCATAGGGCTACACTGATTCGCGCACCCCAGCCTGCTGGCCCCTGTGCCTCCAGCCTCTGCCTCTGTCCTGGAGGAGGCCGACTCCCAGGCTTCTGTGTCTTCTTGGGCCAGCGAGGGCCTGGGCTGCTGGGAGGAGGGTGCTGGGCCCCTTGGGAGAGGCCCCTATGATTATTAGACCCGGCAGGAGGCCCCTTGCTTCCTCCACTAGGCACCAGATAGTCCTCTACAGGCCTCTTCCCGGAGCAGGTTCCTCCTACCTCTAGTTCAGGGCCTGGGCCCCAAGCTTGGCGGCTGCTTCTCCAACCCTGTAAACCTCCCAGACCCCAGCTCCCCATCAGAACTGGAGCCTTGGCCTGGGGCCCCTCCTCCCAGAGGCCTCTGCTGCCCTCTGCCCTTCCTCCTGGGTCCTTAGGCCTGGGCTCCCATCCACCTTGAGTGGGCAAGAGATCTCTGGGGAAAGCCCCTACTCCAAGAGGCCTGGGGCCCCCAACAACCTGGGACCCCTGCCTTTCCGGGAGGCTTTGCACCTCCCTCCCTTCTGAGAGCCCGGTGGCTCTGTGTGGCCTTCACTGCCGCCCCCTAGCCTGGCACTTGTGGCCCTGAGGACACACCCAGTCTCCCCAACCCCTGCCCCTGGCCCCAGCCACTAGAGGCCTGGTCCTCCCCAGATCCGCCCGCTGCCTCCCTCACCCTGCCTTGCAACTCGGGGGGTCGCGCTCCCCCCAACCCCCGCCGCCCAGCTTCTGGTGCCCAGTCCTTCCTAGCCGTCACCAGCTTGGAGCTGCCTGGATCCGGGAGCGCCGCTGTCCCACCTGGAAATGGCTTAGACCCCTCTGGTCTCACTGGCACCTCCAGTCCCAGGTGCCCGCTGTGCCAGGCCTCTCCCAGCTCAGCCGAAGCCACGCTGTCTGTGCCAGACCCACTTTCCCTGCAGCTGCCGCAGGTGGCCCCTTCCCTTGGGGCCCGCAGCCGCCTGCCACAGGGGCCTTAAACCTCCCAAGCAGAGGAGGTGATGAGGCTTTGGCAACACTTCCTCTCGTGCTGGGCTCCCACCCGGGGACCCCCCGAACCTGGTTCCGTGGACCTGGCACGGCGCAGGCCCCCTTTCTCCTCACCCATCGGGGACTCCGTGTCCACCCAGGCCGCTGCCTGCTGGGGGGCCCAGAGCCACAGCCCCCTTTCCGACTGCTGGTCTTGCCACAACCTGGGCACTTGAGCCTCTGAGCAGAGGTTTGATGACCCCCGGGACGTTCCTGCCAAGCAGAGAGGCTCCCTGGGCCAGCGCTGGGCAGCGGGAGGGCTCGGGCCTCCAGGGTAGAGGGGCTGGGGCTGAGGAGCCAGCACCCCCAGTCCCTGCCGCGTTTCCGTCCGATATCCCACGTTGGAGACCCAGCTCTTACCCGGCTGCTGGGTCCCCGTCCCAGCTCACCCAGGGCTCATGGGGAGACCACACCAGGGAGCCACGGCCAGGAGGAGCGCCCAGGGCCTCTGCACCCCTGTTTATGGGGCCACTTGGGCAGAAGGGGCTTCGGTTCTGTGGGGGGACTCTAGCTCCTCTCTTGTCAACCCCTGGGGGGGCAGCCCGGGGATGCGACTGCCCCTGTCCCTCGCCCCTGAGGGGAGTCTGGCTCCGGTTCTGGCCTAGAATTTGGACACCCTGAGTTAGCCACACCTGGCAGGTTCCAGGCAAGCCGTCCCGCGCCGGGGCGGGTACACGTCTGACGCCCAGGCTCCCGTGCCCTCTCCGGCCCCGTGTCCCCAGATCACCTGTGCACCGCTCCTGACGAGCCCGGCTGGCAGGCACACCGGCCGAGAGGAGGATGGGACCAGCTGAGCATTGGTCAAGAAGCGGGGAGCCTGGTTGGGGTGCGTGGGGAAGGCCCGAGGCAGGATGTCCGGGAGCTCCTGCCTGCCTGCCCTCCTTTCTCCTCGGCCCTAGAGGAAGGCACTTAGGCCTCTGCCCCTACCCCAGCACGCACCACACGGCCCCGCGCTTTCCCTCCCTAGAAGGGGTATCGTCCTTTTCCCCGTGGGACTGACAGCTTTGTTTTGCCCTCAGTCCACGTGAAATGTGGTTTTCCCTGCTTTCCTCATCAAAGAGGGTCAACTGAGGCAGAGAGATGAAATGGCTCCCCCTCGGTCCCAGCCCCTCTCTGGGTGGTCATGCCCAGCAGGTGCCAAGCTTAGGGGCCTCCCTCTTACCAGCCTTCTCCACTCAGGCATGTGCTGTCCTCATGCCCAGCTTCCTAAAAGCCAGAGCCTGTTTCTTTGAGTCTTCTTGGCTCCATGGGGCTGGATCGGGTTAGGGCCCTGCCCTGCCTGTCAAGCCCCTTCCAGATAATGGAGAGACGTGGGCCTCCACTGCTACCGATGCCCACGAGCCGCCTCCCCACACCTGTTCCCTGCAGCCAGAGGTCGGGCTGGGGGCACAGCCGAGTGGAGGTCGAGGGGCAGATTCCGCCCACCAGCTCGTACCTATGCCCGGTGGCAGCCAACACGGTCCAGCTCACGGCCCTGGCCTGGCTCAGCCCCAGTGGGGAGTGGGAGGATGCTTGCCATCTTCAAGCACATGCCCGCCCCTCTTTGTACCTCCTGGCTTCCCTTCCTGGTAGACCTGTCGCCTACCTCTGACTGCCTGGAGGCCCAGCTCAAGCCTTCCCTGCCCACCAGAACATTTTCCTGAAGGGTCATCCTCCACCTGTACGCCCCCTCACCTCAGAGCTCTTGGTAGGGATGCATGTTAGGGTTGGATATAGGCGATGGCCTAGAAGGGTCCAGAGGAGGGCCCAGATAGCTGTAACTCCTACAGGGCCAGGCCCTCCTCTGCCCAGCCTCACCCTCCAGGACAGCTCAATGCCCTGTTTCCTTTGGTCTTGGGCCTGCTGGGAGCTAGGGTTGTCCTTGCTTGATCTGACTTCCAAAGCAATACTGACATCCCCAGAAGACAGAAGGGAAGACTGGCCTAGCAGGGGTTGTCCCAGGTCACCACAGGGTCCTGACTAGGTCAGGGTCACCACAGCAGGGCCTGGGCCTTGGCACAAG